GGCACCAAAACAACCTTAGCTTAATGAAGCTGTTTTGGTGTATCGATCATGCAGGCTCTTTGCTTAATTCTCTGACATTTAGAAATGAATCACCTTCCATTTAGTAATTAATTCTCTGCCATTTAGTAATGAATCATCTTGTTTATTCAGTCCTAGCCACACCTCCCTTCATGTGACTTACACAGCCTTCCTAAACACTTCCTCTAAAGAGTGTTGCAGCCGGATAGGCATAGGGGACGATACCTGCCTGGAAGAAGGGCTGCAGAGGAATAGGCAGAGGGGATGATGCCTGTCTGGAAGAAGAGCTGCAGAGGAAAAGGCAGAGGGGACGAAACCTGCCTGGAAGAAGGGCTGCAGAGGAATAGGCAGGGGGGATGATGCATGCCTGGAAGGAAAGCTGCAGAGGAATAGGCAGAGGGGACGAAACCTGCCTGGAAGAAGGGCTGCAGAGGAATAGGCAGGGGGGATGATGTCTGCCTGGAAGAAGAGCTGCAGAGGAAAAGGCAGAGGGGACGAAACCTGCCTGGAAGGAGAGCTGCAGAGGAAAAGGCAGAGGGGACAATACCTGCCTGGAAGAAGGGTTGCAGAGAAATAGGCAGAGGGGACGATACCTACCTGGAAGGAGAGCTGCAGAGGAATAGGCAGAGGGGATGATCTCAGACAATCCAATGCTTTCCAATAGCAAAGCTCAGCACTGCGCCAATCAGCATCTCCTCATAGAGGTGCATTGAATCAATGACTGTCACTAGAGGTGTTCCTAGAAAATAATGTAAACACTGCAGGAACAGGCTATATACACCAGAACAACTACATTAAGCTATAGTAGTTCTGGTGACTATAGTGCCCCTTTAAAGTTCTTTATACAATATTATATACATGGTATACAGTGCTAGCTAGAATGCAAAATATATTAATGTAATTTTCAGCATTACGCTGGAGAGGAGGATCCTTGGATTTGGGCCCCATGCCTCCAGTATGATGGGATTGAATAAATCTCAGGCACATATGGCAACATCTATTATCTTCTGTAGTGGTGTTGTGGAGACAGGCTCAGGCACTGAGAGTAGTGGTGTTGTGGAGACAGGCTTGAAGACTATGGTGAGGCCTAATAGAAAGCAGTTGTTGTTGGGGGATTCCATCATAAGAGGTGTGGAGATGGACAATGGTGGTCTTGTGAGATGTCTTCCCGGAGCTAGTGCTCACAGAGACAGTAGACGTATTTCTAATATTGTTAAGCGAGCAAAGCAGGAAGGGGAATTGGATGTACTTGTCCATCTAGGGACAAATGACTTGGCTTGCAATGAGGTTTCAGAGGTTAAGGAAGTTTTTAGTGTTTTTGCCAATGATATATGGCAGGTTGCTTCCACACTGTCATTCTCTGAAGTTCTGCCTGTGCATAACACTCAGAACGACAGGCGGATGTGTATTAGGGACTTTAACTTGTGGCTTGGTGAATGGTGTCGGGAGCATGGATTTGGCTTTATTTCTCATGGTAGCTCTGTTTGGAATGGAAATAAACTGTACAAAAAAGATGCTTTGCATCTTTCTCAAAAGGGAACAAATGTTCTCAGTGAGCAGTTCAGAGGTTTTGCTAGGATGTATTTAAACTGGGGGGGGGGCAAAAGGGTGATGAAACATCAATCCAATTGCCCCCCAAAACAAGGACAGAAGGTGCCTTTAGCAAGTGCATTAAAAAATGACAAGCTTAGAGTCATGTCTACAAATGCTCACAGTTTAGGGAATAAGATCCATGAACTTGTGGCAATAATGGCAACTGATAATGTAGATTTAGTCTCTGTTACTGAGACATGGTATAATGAGAAAAATGACTGGGACATAGCAATACCGGGGTACTCTCTATTTAGAAAAGACAGGGAAGGCAAGAAAGGGGGAGGGGTGGCCCTATATGTGAAGGATAGCATAAAATCTAGCCTAATAAAAGTTAGTGAGGCGAACATAGAGTCCGTTTGGGTTACGTTAGAATTTGATAATCACACAGTAACTCGTGTAGGTGTGATTTATAGGCCCCGAGGACAAATTGAAGAGTTAGATAATCTACTAGTTGAGGGAATAGCTAAAATGACAATGAAGGGGGAAGTTATCATCATGGGTGACTTTAATCTTCCTGATGTGAATTGTAAAACAGAATTAGCTGCTTGTGCCAGGAGCACACATATTCTAAACTCCCTACTGGGATTGTCTCTAAAACAAGTCGTTGAGGAGCCAACTCGTAAAGAGGCCATACTAGATTTAGTGTTGACACATGGAGATTTGGTATCAGATATTACTGTAGGTGAAAGTTTAGGATCCAGTGATCATCAGTCATTGTGGTTTAATATAAGAACAGTGACTGAGTCACACCACACAAAAACAAAAGTTTTAGACTTTAAAAAAACAGACTTTTCTAAAATTAGAATATGTGTAAAGGAGTCATTATCAGATTGGAGCAATTTAAATGGAGTCCAAGAGAAATGGGATTATTTAGAGGTTGCACTGCTGAAGGCAACAGAAAATTGCATTAGGCTTGTCAGTAAAAGCAAAAAATTAAACAAACCACTGTGGTACTCCGCAGATGTGGCCAAAATAGTAAAAAACAAAAAGTTAGCATTTAGTAATTATAAAAAAAAACCAGAGTGAGGAATACAGAATGATCTATAAATTTAGGCAGAAAGAGGCTAAGCAAGGTATAAGGGCTTCCAAATCTCACACAGAAGAGAAAATAGCACAGTCAGTAAAAAATAGGGGACAAAACATTTTTTTAGATACATAAATGAGAAAAGGAAAGTAAAACAAGGATTACTTAGATTAAAAACAAAAGAAGGAAGGTATGTAGATGAGGATAGAGGTCTAGCTGACTGCCTCAATGAATATTTTTGTTCTGTATTTACAGAGGAAAATGAAGGAAAGGGACCTCAGTTAGGAAAAAGGACAAATAAGTCATTTATTACATGTGAGTTTACAGAGGAGGAGGTTCAATTTCAACTGTCAAAAGTAAAGACAAATAAGTCAATGGGACCTGATGGAATACACCCAAGAGCTTAGTAGTGTACTGGCAAAACCATTAACAGATTTATTCAACCAATCATTGTTAACAGGAGTAGTCCCAGATGATTGGAAGTTAGCAAATGTTGTGCCCATTCACAAGAAAGGTAGTAGGGAGGAGTCGGGCAACTATAGGCCAGTAAGAGTTACTTCATTAGTGGGGAAAGTAATGGAAACCATGTTAAAGGATAGGATTGTTGAACAAGTAAAAATACATGGATTTCAAGATCAGAGACAACATGGGTTTACTTCAGGGAGATCATGCCAAACTAATCTTATTGATTTTTTTGATTGGGTAACTAAAATAATAGATCAGGTTGGTGCAGCAGACATTGTTTACCTAGATTTCAGTAAGGCTTTTGACACTGTTGCACATAGAAGGCTTATCAATAAACTGCAATCTTTAAGTTTGGATTCAAATATTGTTGAATGGGTAAGGCAGTGGCTGGGTGACAGGCAACGGAGGGTAGTAGTCAATGGAGAATATTCGAAGCTTGGGCTTGTCACCAGTGGGGTACCTCAGGGATCTGTATTTGGACCCATTCTCTTTAATATTTTTATTAGTGATATTGCAGAAGGTCTTGATGGTAAGGTATGTCCTTTTGCTGATGATACTAAGATATGTAACAGGGTTGATGTCCCAGGAGGGATAAGCCAAATGGAAAATGATTTTAGGTAAACTAGATGGTCAGAGTTGTGGCAACTGACATTTGATGTGGATAAGTACAAGATAATGCATCTTGGACGTAAAAACCCAAGGGCGGAGTACAGAATATTTGATAGAGTCCTAACCTCAACATCTGAGGAAAGGGAATTAGGGGTGATTATTTCTGATGACTTAAAGGTAGGCAGACAATGTAATAGAGCAGCAGGAGATGCTAGCAGAATGCTTGGTTGTATAGGGAGAGGTATTAGCAGTAGAAAGAGGGAAGTGCTCATGCCATTGTACAGAACACTGGTGAGACCTCACTTGGAGTATTGTACACAGTACTGGAGACCGTATCTTCAGAAGGATATTGATACCTTAGAGAGGGTTCAGAGAAGGGCTACTACACTGGTTCATGGATTGCAGGATAAAACTTACCAGGAAAGGTTAAATGATCTTAACATGTATAGCTTGGAGGAAAGACGAGACAGGGGGGATCTGATAGAAACATTTAAATACATAAAGGGAATCAACACAGTAAAGGAGGAGACTATATTTAAAAGAAGAAAAACTACCACAACAAGAGGACATAGTCTTAAATTAGAGGGACAAAGGTTTAAAAATAATATCAGGAAGTATTACTTTACTGAGAGGGTAGTGGATGCATGGAATAGCCTTTCAGCTAAAGTGGTAGAGGTTAATACAGTGAATGAGTTCAAGCATGCGTGGGATATACATAAGGCTATCTTAGATATAAGAGACTAATGAAAGTATTTTAGAAAATTGGGCATTCTAGATGGGCTGAATAGTTCTTATCTGCCGTCACATTCTATGTTTCTATGTTTCTTTTCAGTAGTTAGTCAAATAAGTTCTCCCATGTTCATTATAAACTGGACTACTATCGATCTTCCCAGCTAATATATCTGTGTATGTAACGATTAAGATTTATATTGCATGGCATTGAAAAGATCATTAACCATTGAAAAGAAAAGAAAAAAACAAAGTGCAATGAGAAAACGAATATAAACATACATTTTACTGGATTTAAATAAAACCCCCACAAACACAATGACTGCAAAAAGTGGGAATTCTGGTGTGAGGTGTTAGCATCAAATTAAAATTGTTGAGCTACATAACACTAAATATGTTAAAAGTCTCGAAGAGAAGCCATGTTTAAAAGAATCTAAATATAGGTTATCTGTATCACTTGATGTCAGAGGGAAAATATAAATTAGAACTGCCATTTGATCTATTAAATAATCTGTGAATTAATATTCTAAGGTAGTTTTTGATCTATATCAATACAGAAATACTGTCATCTAGCACTGATTCACTACGAAGGAAAAGGAGACATTATTCACTAAATTAGTAAAAACAAATTGTAAAATTCAATCCAAAGTAACAGAACTGGGGTAGTAGCCGAAGTGGATTTTTTTTTTCCAAAGGAACTTTTTTTGGCCAAGTTTTGCAATGTAATTTCTTTTATTTTTTGAGTCATATGAGGGATTGCACTATATACATAAGAGCTTTTATATACATAAGACCCCACCCTATCTGAGAAGAATGCTCTCCCCAGTTGTTCCCACCTCCTATAACCTCCGACCCAGTACTAGCACGATATTTAGCATACCGCAATACAAAAATAAAGTGGCTCAATTCTAATTTTTCTACAGACAGGGCCGGACTGGGAAGCAAATTCAGCCGGGGCATTTTTTTATCACAGCAGCCCACTAAGAAGGGGGCGGGCCAAAGAGGGTGTGTTTTGTCATCATCAATGACAAGCACGCCCCCTCTCAAAGTGAGCATGTTGGCTCAATGCACTTTCAGGGCCGGACTGGGAAAAAAATTCGGCCTGGGCATTTTTTTATCACAGCTGCCCACTGAAAAGGGGGCAGGGACAGATATTGTGTGTTTTGTTATCCCAGATGACAAGCACGCCCTATCTCAATGTGAGCATGTTGGTTCAATGTTCTTTCAGGGCAGACCATGTGCAGAGCTCTGCTGAAGAGCTCTAGCATGAGAAAAAGACCCTGAATTTGTTCTGCACAGTGCAAGCAAAATTAATAACATGCTTGTGCTGTGTTTGCTTGCAACTTGTATCTGGTGTCTCTATAAATTGGATGCCAGGAGACAAAAGGGCCAGGAAAGAGTATTATGAATGTGTTTGGAGCCTGCTTGTGGGATAACGTGTGTGTAGAGTGAGCTGGTCGTGGTGTGGTATTGTGTAATAAGGTCTGTTTTAGTCATGCTGTGTTTGTGGTGTAATGTAATGTAATGTATGTGTGGCTAGGGGCTGTAGAGAGTGTGTGTATAGGGAATGTAGCAGGTGTGTGCATACGGGCTATAGTGTGTGTGTGTGTGTGTGTGTCTATGTATAGGTGATGTTGTGTTTGTAGGGGTTGTAGAGAGTGTGTGTTTAGGGAATGTGTTGTGTTTGCTTACAAGGAGTCTAGTGTGTGTATAGGTGATCCAGAGTGTGTATGTCACGAATGTAGTGTTTGTGTGTAGGTAGTGCAGTGTGTGTGTGTGTATAGGGGTCTAGTGTGTGTTTAAAGGACCCAGAATGTGTATAGGAGATCTAGTGAGTGTGTTTATTTAGTGTGTATGGAATGTAATATGTTTAGGGGTGTAGTATGTGTGTGAGGGGTGCTGTAGTGTGTGTGTATATGTATATATATATATATATATATATATGATTGGAAGTATTGTGTGTGTATAAGCGGTGCAGTGTGTTGGGGGGGTTCTGTGTGTATGTGTGAGGGGTGCAGTGTGTGTGAGGGGTGTAGTGTGTATGTGAGGGGTGCAGTGTGTGTGTGTGAGGGGTGCAGTGTGTGTGTGTGTAATGGGTGCAGTGTGTGTGTGTGAGGGTGCTGTGTGTATGTGTGTGAGAGAAGGTGATGTGTGTGTGAGGGTACTGTGTGCATGAGGGTGCTGTCTGCATGAGAGTGCTGCATGTGAGGGTTCTGTGTGTGTGAGGATGCTCTGTGTGAGGGTCATGTGTGTGTGAGTGTGCTGTGTGTGTGTGAGGATACTCTGGGTGAGGTCCTGTGTGTGTGAGAGGGTGCTATGTGTGTGTATGCGTGTGTGTGAGGATAATGTGTGTGAAGGTAATGTGTCTGTGAGTAGGAGCTGTGTGTGTGTGAGGGTAATGCATGTGTGTGTGTGTGAGAGGGTAATGCATGTGTGAGATGAAGCTGTGTGTGTGAGAGTTCTGTGTGTGTCATGGTGGTGTGTGTGTTTGTGTGTCTTAGGAGTGATTGTGTGTTGGGGAGAGGCAGATAAATGACACTATATAAGAATTTATTTTAAAATAAAAAAACAAAACAAAAAAGCAAGCATTATATCCCCCATCCCTTCTTACCTTTTCCCTGGTAGGGGAGACCTGGTGGTGCTAGTGGTGAGTTCAGTCTCGCGAGATCGAAGGCGTTGCCATGGCAATGCTCCGAATCTCGCGCGAGGAACCCGGAGGAGCAGCAAGCTAGAGCTTCTCCTGGTCCTCTCCTGTCTCCCTCCCGCCCCAGCCAGCAGCCACATTACACTGACTGGGGACTAATGAGGGAGATCTTTGATCTCCCCACCAGCCCATCATGGAATACTGCAAGTCCGGTGCTCGGGTAGGACTAGCCCTGCATGGACCAGCTGGGGAGATCCTGTGACCTCCCATGTCAGCCTCGGCCCATGGCCATGGTGCCCAACGGGCATTTGACCGGTGTGCCCGATGGATAGTTCGTGCCTGCCTACAGAGCATCGCAATTATGGAATAACCTCAGTGATACAGTCAAATCTTCATTCAATCAAAAATATTTTAAGAAATCTATGGGAGAATACAGAATGCACCTGTCATGGTTGACTATATTTATTACCTGGTATGTGTTAAATTTATATATGTGTGTATGTATACATATATATATATATATATATATATATATATATATATATATATATATATATATATTGTTTTTTTTTTTATGTAATATTGTACCCTAGTGTAACAATGTAATGTTTTGTAGACCCAGGACATACTTGAAAATAAGAGAAATCTCAATGTATCTTTCCTAGTAAAATATTTTATAAATAAATAAATATACTGTCACTGCAGCAGTCATTGTTTTGTCAGTTATGTAAACCCCCAAACCATACAGCAAAAGGAACTGTTTTGTAATGAAAATGCTAAGGCACATAATATGTAGCAATTGAAAACAATTCGACAAGCAAAAGAAAGAAAGAAACAAAACAACGAAGACAACAAAAGAACTCATATAGATCAGTTTTTGATAACAAACAGAAACTCCTGCTGGTTCTCTTGCTTCCGCTGTGCTCTGACGTTGAGATAAGAAATGGAACATTAAGTGGTTGCTTGCCTTTTTTGGTTACAGTACTAAGGTTTTTGTAAGATGTAAGATAATCGGGTACAGGATGTCTCTCAACAGCTGGTTAGCTTAACCTACATAATGGTCTCTGCAATAAGAAAAAAACATTACATATATATTATATATTATATACGTAGAGGAAATGCAGGGGGCTTTGCTGTACTTCTTTTTGTTAGATTCTGTTTATAAATAGAAAAAATGCATCTGCATTCCTCAATGTTTAAAATCAGAAATGCTTTACAGTACCTGGTGCTGTATGTTTAAATTTAATTTTGTAATTTGAAAAGTTATATATGACGTATACTGCAGATAGTGTTGTTTGTTTACTAAACCAGGAATTGACAGAAATTATCAAATAAAATTCAAGTTTTTGGCAAAAAGAGCCAAAAAGGAAAATGGAAACTCATTTATTTTGCTTGTTTTGTTACTTTGATCTAACGTTTCCAATTTCCTATCAATTTCTCAAATTTTTGGGCACTTTTCACTAAATTTGCAGTTGACATAAATTCAAAGTAAATTCAAAGTGAATTTCAAATTTAAGTCCAAAACAGCAAAACTTTCCAAGTCAACTATGCTTTGGCTTCTTGACCTTAAACTTGAATTTCACTTTTAATTAGTGAATAAGCCCATATGTTTGTCGTTGAGAATCATTTAAAAGCCATTAAAAATACACTGTAGGCATTATAAAACTTTCATCTCATTGAATTGGTTATAGTGCCTAGACTCCTCTGGTACGGCTCATCTAGTGTTGAACTAATGTCGATGAATTTAACACTAAATGGGGGTACCTGTCCATCCAGATCCTGACTCATCCTGGAGATAAGGAGAAGACAGAGATACATACCTTCTTTTCTTCTAGTAATACCAATTCATACCAGCAATAGGCACTCTGATAGGTTGAAAGCTGTCAGATGACACTCTCATCCAATCACACCTGCCCAATGCCGCTCAGGCTAATGCTTCCTCATTAGCCCAAGCAGCACAGAGGGGATGGACTGCTAGAAACTATCTGGCATTATTAAACTTAGTTCAGCCTCATTAGACTCGGGTACCTAGAATACTTTCGGACAAGAACAATTTTGTTTAGTCCGTTTGTTCGTTCATTTTCGGTCAAAATTCACCCATTATTTTAGTGTTGGAATTTCAATCTGATGAATGAAATTCTGATGTAGGCCGTGGCTGCATCTTGTAGTCGTTTAGTAGATAAATCCCTATATTAGCACCCTTGTGAAATTGCCATATTTAAGAGCACCAACTTAAGGAGCTATTTAGTAGGTAACTCCTTTTTGGTATCCTTATGGAAATCGCTGCCTAGTCACTAATAAAATCTTTAGGGCACCTAAAAAAATAATATTGTTGATTTTTTTGTTTTGCTTGGGGAAGGGGAGTCTCCTTTTGAATCCATCCATATTTGGACAGCACTTATTGGCTGAGAATGTCATGACATTCTCAGCAAATTATTGTGGTCCAAATTTGGACAAAATAGATAGTGCTATTGCATAGGTATAATTGTAGAAATCAAATAAGTGAGAGTCTGGGCAATGGGTGTCCATGGGCTCCTTAGTTCATGTCAATCCACTTCAAAGTGGTGTGACACAGATTTGAGGGACTGTGCCATTATTCTGATATGACCATTACCATAACAATGGGCTGTAGTAGTTATGGTGTTTGGAGTGTCCCATTATGTTTATCTCATGTAACAAAATCCAATCCAAAATATGAAATTCTAACAATTCACAATTTAGTGAAAAACCCTCCAGTCCCTCCAGGGATATATTAGATTATAAAACCAGTAGTACATTTATTTTCTTGCAATCTGGCAACATGACACTTTTTTTCTTGTTATATTTTATAAAACCCTTTAGATAACTATATGATCCAAATATAACTACTGTCACATTCCAGTGTAAATCCTATTTTGACAGCAAAACTCCAACAGAATAAGTTTCAGCTGTTTATGATCTTCAGTGCATTGTAACTTATTTTATAGCCTTCATACAAATGCAAAAATGGTAAAAGATGACATCTGCTCTCAAACATTCTAGGTATCAGAAGACTTACCTTACAAGCAAGGCTGCCATATCTGCCAAGACTACATGGCATTTTTTCATACTATTTGGCAATGCATTGTAATAGTTATATGCTGCCAGGAAACTAAGATATTTACCATAA